AAAGAAAGAAAGAAAGAAAGAAAGAAAGAAAGAAAGAAAGAAAGAAAAAGAAAGAAACATCAGTGGCTCATTGTTGCCTCAAACTTCTTGACCTTGGCATTTAAAGCCCTTACAGTGTGATTGCAATCTACCTTTCCATTTCTTTTCACTCCCCTTCACAAACTTCTTGGTTTGGCCAAACTGGTATCCTTGCTGTTCCCCAAACTTGGCTTTCCTCCTCACTATTCGCTTCATGGCAGCTCCTTATGCCTGGAATATCCTCCTTCTTCACCTCTACCTTGTTGAATCCCTACCTTCCTTTAAATTTCATCTCAGACGCCACATCCTTCCTGAGTTCTCTCTTGAGGTCTTTCCTAACCCTTCCTAGACATTAATCCATTATGGCTATCTTCTCCAATATGAGTATTTGTTTGTATATCAGTCAGTATTCCCCTCAAAAATGACAGCTTCTTGAGGATAGAAACCATGTTTTTCTTTGGATCTCCAGAATTTGGTGAAGATTCTCAAATACAGTCATAAATACTTGTTCAACAGAATTGAATCTGTTACCAGCTTTATACTAGGTACCCATCATGATCACTTAGTAAATTTGGAAATGCAAAACTACCCTTACAGATGATTTCTCCTTGATCACTTTTCTACAGTATGGCAGCTCAACTGTCTACCACCAGATGACTTCTCCATTAGACTAGGAGCTCTTTGAGGGCATGTTCTACTTTTCATCTGTCTTTGTACCCCCAGAGCTTAGCACATAGTAAGAGCTTCTATGTACTTAAGAAATATTTGTTGACTAATTGGTGATGCTGGTTAATGGGAACTTAGGACAAATGATGAGTTCTCCTTAGCTATGAATCATTGAGAAACATGAATAGGAAATGAACCAGCAATTACATTTTTTTTCTATTACAATAACTTAAAAAAAAACAGTAAAAATCATCAGCAGCTTCTAATGAATTATATCTTTTTAGGAAAGGAATAACTAAAAATAATAACTAATGATATTAACTAGAATAGATATTAACTAGGCTACAGATGGGGAACCTGCAGCCTGGAGGGGCCACACATGGCCGCTAGGCTGCAGGTTCCCCGTCCCTGAACTAGACTGTTAATATCATTAGGATAGGAAGCTCCAGATAAGAAAACTCCCTTTAGCAATGCAAGTTAGCTTCTTCTCTGTAACTTTTAGGGTTAGAGAATTGCCCAGATTGTTGCAAGGTTAAATGTCTTAACCAGGGTCCCACAACCAGTATGGGTCAGAAGAGGGGAAATTTCCATCATGAAACAGCTCCATGAAAGAATGGTCATTGTCTTCCAGAACATATTTCAGTTATGTTCAATTATCTTCAGGTACTGCAAAGAAAATGTCAAATGTCTTAGGATACACTCTGGTTCTGAAGCAGCCTCCATGTAGGTCAGAGTTACAGGTCCAAGTGTGCTAAGTGAACTGCTCTGAGCCTATCCTAGAACAAGGACAACCCAAAGATTACAATGAACCAGAGTAGCACAGCATTTTCACCAAAACTGAACATGCATTAGCATGTAAAAATATCACCAGAAAAATGCAGAAAAAGTAAACATATCCTATACTGATTACAATGCAATAAAAATTGTATTTAGTAAAGGGCCATTGAATTAAAAATCAAAAATTAATCAGAGACTAAACAACCCTAAGGAATTGGATTAAAGGAAATGGGAATGTTTTAGTCTGAGGAATAGGAATATGTGCCCTCAAAGCACAAACAATAATTTCATTAAAGATAGTGACAACAATGAGACAACATACCAACATTTTGGGGATTCAGCCAAAGCAATCCTTGGAAGAAAACGTATGTCTCTAAATACTTTAATCAACAAAAGAAAAAAGAACAAATCGATGAATTGGGCATGAAACAAACAAACAAGAAAGCTTAAAAACCAATAAATTAACCACCTTCCCTCCAATTAAATTCCAAAGAACCTATGTAGAAAACAGTGATGTAAAGGCTCCAACCCAAAATCATTCATTGTTGACTATATCCCATAGTTTCCAGAGTCAGCAGAGAATAGCACAATTTGAGTGCACAATAGAATGGGGCGGGGGGGGGGGAGGGAAATGCCATTAT